GCTGGTGTCCCAGAGTCGATTTTTCAGGAGACTTTCGCGTTCGGAGAGACGCCATCAAGAAATCTTCCTTTCTTGAAAATCTCTAAAGGAACCTATGGCGATACAGCAATTCGGAGGGAGATAGATACTTCTATCAAACCGCAGAAGATGAAAGAATTCTGGACCGACTATTGGGGTCCCGCGGGTTGGTTGGATAGCTGTAAATGGGTGAAAGGCTTGACTGTATGGTTGAGGTATGGGAACGAAACATTGATGGTGATGCGCAGCGAAGCTTCGAGGAGGCTGTGGCATTCGGAGCGGTCTCGTGGACATAGCTCCCTTTCCTCACGATCTCTGAAGGGGTGGAGAGTCCTGTTGAACCAGGGATGGTAAAAATGGGTTTTGGAGTGTTAAATGGGCTGCCGGGAGTTGAGAGGATGCCCTTATGGAACCGGCTAATTGAATTGATTGGCTATCTGTGAAATATGTATCCTAAAATGTGTGGCTAGAAGGCTGCCGCAGTGCATGGCTCTCCCTCCTACATGGAAGTATTCCTCTCCTTGCTTTTCCCCCCCCACAACAAATATATATACACAATTCCACTACTTCGCTGAGGCGACCTCCACTGGTAAGGCACATGCAGATAAGCCTATCCTTCACGATATTGTGACCCTTCCCTTCTGATAGATTCTTTCAGGTGATCAGAGGCACCTCACAGTCTACCAAAGCTGAGATTAGGTTCGTTCAAAGTCTTTCGGAGCTCAATCCACAGGGTCCAGTACGTGATACCTTGTACGGCCATTCCTCACTGTGCCACCAATATGATGTCGATCAACAACCCAGCGACGTTCACGACTTCATGCTCGTGCGCAGCCTGACCCCCATGTCCTACGATTTCACCAGCAGTCCCCTTACCGAGCTCATGCCGACCACCTCGAGGACAGAGACGCAGTCCATCAACGAGTCTCTCTCGTCGACCATCTCGAAGAACGAGCCAGGATTGCCGATCCTCCTTTTGAGCATGTTGACGTCCAAGCCTCTGTGATCCGGGTCGATTATGGATAGGATCAGAGACGCGTACATGGCTCCCGACTCGCCCAGAATTATCTCCCTAGCGGTGTTCACGGTCGTGATGAGCCTCGTGCTCGTATGTGGTCATGTTGAGTTCCATGGATATGTGCACCACCAGCCTCACGCGGGGCTGACGGCTGTATTTTGCTTCCTGACCCTACTCATCGAAACGGTCTAGGACAGTATCAGCTCCTCGTCGCGTTCCTGGCATACTCGAGCCCCCGGTCTCGTCGATGCGAACGGCGCGGCCGCCAGTAGTGAGCCGACGTCCGCGGACACGTCGATCGACCCGTCGTTAAGCTCTTCTTGAGTTCGTTCTTGACCCATACGATGTTGCTGCGACCTGGAGCATCCACATGACGCCGGCCATCTCGTCGAAGATCATCTCGTGCAACTTCTTCCTGCCGAACGCGAAGAACACAGCCACGCCCAACCTCTTCCCGTCGCTGAGCGTGATGCCTTTCCGCAGTAATCAAAGAGGAGAAGCTCTGCGATCTCTTTCCACAACAACAGAGGAGGAGACATTCAGCGATACCTTTCTGCATTAACAAAAAAGGAGACATTCTGCGATACCTTTCTGCATTGACAAAAAAGGAGACATTCTGCGATACCTTTCTGCATTAACGGAAAAGGAGACATTCTGCGATGAGCTGCTCGACAATGGACACGGTCACGATGGCACGGTCGAGCACCCTCTCTGGTAGAGGCCCGTGGTCATCTTCGTGAGGGCCGAAGAGCAGCTGCCGAAGTTCATGGCCGCGGGTGCATTGATGGCCGGGATCGGCTGCGGGTCCCTCTCTCTTCATCTGAAGGACTTCCTGTCCTTGATCATTAGAGTGACCGTCACAGTATCATTGCGCATCTCCAGGTACGGTTTGCCGATGCCGTGCTTGCCTATGGTCGGGTCGACGATCTTGTCCATGGGTCTCTCCGCCCACAAGCCCCAACCAGGCCAGGCTCGACAATGTTAACGAGGTGAGAAAAGTGCAAGTAGTGAGTGGAACCAGGAAGAAATAGCACCGCTGTCCCCAACTGCATGCATGCTCGCATAGGGCCGAGGAAGAGGAAAGCCCAGTGTGCGATTTCATCCATTCTACAAGATTGCCTTGGTTGAAGCAGGACAGGACGAGTCTTCGTATCTAAGGCGGGCTAGTAAAACTTCACTCCACAAGCCAAAGTACCACCATTGTTGAAGGAGCGTAGCGAAAGATCTCGCACCATCTGGCAAGGTGTCAGTGGCATCGCATCCGGCGGTTTGGATAAGACAGAGCAATGAATTTGAGGTCCGGCGCGGCGCCGACGACACGCGGACATCCCGGAGCACGGGCAGTCCTACTCCCTGCCCGAGTATAGTTTAAGCGAAGGGCCAAATAATGACAGAGGATGCTGGCTCACATTGCGCGGTGAAAAGGCACCTTACGAGACTGGAATGGAATTGGGATCCTCGTTCGCTATCTGCAAAGCCAAGGATATTTCTTTCTCAATGGGGGATGTATATGTGTGTGCGTGATGGGCCTGCGAGACGACGCAATAGGACATGATATACGGCTGAGCTCCGAGTATCTCACTGCAGAAACAGATATAACGTTTCCGAGGGGCTTACGCCCAGTGTAATATGCCAGTTGGGGATGGCTTTCATACTGGAGATATTCGTGACAGCAGGACAGAGATAGGTATCGTTGTTCGTTATCGGTGTCGAGGATCTTCCCGTTGCGTAACCTCCCCTTACGGCGCTGGGTGACACGGAAGCCGAGAAGCCATGGCGGAGCCCGCCAACACAAGCAGGCGCGGTTGTATATAGTCGTCACATATCTCTACCAGCTCTGTGATAGACGAACGTCCCAGGCAAGATACCAGTCGAGAATGGTGCCTATACCGGGATGTCTATAGCAGCGGGAGAAAGGATTCTGAATTCGAGCCGCATTGTTCTTGTCACCCGGGAAGCAGGGCTGTTACAATGACTGTTACAATACGCTTCCCGGCCGACAACACCCCATGGGGCGAACGGCCCCCAATGCCAAGGCGACCCCAATGCCAAGTCGGTCCCCAATGCCAAGTCGGCCCCCAATAGGTATACACAGAAAGAGATAAATAGGACCTCTATTCTCGCACTGCTGGAGAGGCCCTCAACAGTGCGAGAAGTCGATGTCTCAAGGACAGCTTTATACAATATAGATACGTGTTCAACCCTCTGACTCTTCGTCTAACGATCCCACCCCAAGGCTCTCTGACATCTTCACTATTTTAATATTTAAGAGTCTTAAACGGGATCCTAGTAGACTCTCTTAGTCGAAATCCTATACACTACGTCTAGAGAGACCGTTAGAGCCTTAGTCTTACTCCTTAGTCTTATTATATTAGTTTAATTAAATATATAGTTTATAGGTTTAGAAATTCCCTCTTAATCCTAGCTAGGACCGATAATTAGCGCTAACTATCTTATCGTAACTCATTTACTTACGTTTTATATTCTCCTATTTAATTCCTATATTATACTACTTACTTTTTATAGATATTCGATTTTATACCTTTTAAATAGTACTATTAAACACTAAGGATTATAGAGAAAACTCTCTAGAGGACTTAATTAAGTATAACTCTAACCTCTATTAATTAGCTAATACTATATAATATAGATATAAAGTCTAATAAAACTCTCTCTAAGATAGACTCTCTAAGTTATTAAGTGTTCTAAGACCCTAACGGCTCTAGTCTCTTATTATAGAAATCTAAGATTAGGAGCGTCTAGTTAGCTTACTATCTATAAGAGGCGCTACCGGCGGATAAGGTCTAGAGAGATTAAAATAGAGTTCGATTATTAACGGATACTCCCTTTTTTTTTGAGATTTCTCTTTTTCGACCATAGAATAAGAATCTCGCCGACTTTATATCTTTACTCTATCTCTTATAGAAGGCTTATATTATCGAGTAGTTTCCTTATAATCTAATATTAACTAAGACTAACTTAGACTAGTCTACTTTCAAACTCACTAACCTCTTTTAACTTAGTCTTTTTTCACCTTCAGTCTTTTCGCCACGCTCAACAGGTCGCCTTAGGGAGTCAAGCGGTGAAGACACCGCCCTACAGCGCATTTTATAAAGCTATCCTTAAGATATCGACTTCTCGTACTATTAAGGACCTCTCTAATAGTGCGAGAATAGAGGTCTTATTTATCTCTTTCTATATATACCTTATGGGGCCCGCCTTAGCACTTAGGGACCGTTAGCCCCATAGGGGCTACTCGCCCTATTCACCCTATGGGAGTCATTCGCCTAGTGGGGGCCACTCGCCCTATGGGGTGTTATCGACCGGGAAGCCCGGGTGACAATTTTCGTGACCCAGGGAAGAAAGGGTGGTTAACACCTAGAGGTCGTCGATATAGCTTCTGAGCTTCGACCACAACAGTAGCTTTCGAAATTGCGAGATATCTTGTTACCTGGACTTTGACTCTCGATCGAGGTAAGCTTCTTGGGATTGAATAGGGATATCCCTAAGTTAACGGGGTTGTTTCTTTACTGCCGCCTCGAACACTGCATACCAGTCCAGCGACGGGTCCTCGTAGTCGACCACCCCGAGGACCGTTGAGGGTTTCTTGTACCCGAGAAGGGACAGTATCTTGTCACTCATTCTAAGCACTTTGCTTCTGGGCACGACCAGAAACTGGTTTTCTTCCGTGCGCAAGTTGCCCTAGATGAAAAACAGCTATCGTGAAAGAGTGATCTGGGTGCCGCAGGAGACAAACTCATATCTATCACGAATCCCACTGGGCAGGAACCCTAGTAGCGAAGACTAACGACCAGCGTCGGAAAGACACACTGTCCACCAAAACAAATTCAGTTAGCCCAACTTCATGGAAGTCTGTTGCAACCTTCCACCACCAAATACCAATCCCACGACATACCCACGGCGCATGGAGAGATCGGCTCGCCGCTCTGATGGCCATCTCCGCCATTTCTGAGGAATGTCGAGACCCCATGATCAGCGAACTCGATAAGGTCCTTAAACTGGTTGTGCCGTCCTTGAGAGATCCTCACCCACGCGTCCAATTTGCCGGATGCAGTGCCCTTGGCCAGATGACCACCGATTTCGCGGGCCCCATGGGGGAGAAGGACCACCAAGTGGTGCTGACAACCGTCATCCCCGTCCTCGAAGCACGCGAGTCGGGAGGACAAGCACATGCGGCGGCTGCACTGGTCAACTTCTGCGAAGAGGCGGAAAAGTCAATGTTGGAACCGTACCTGGATCAATTACTTGGACATCTCCTGCAGCTCCTTCAATCTCCCAAACGATTTGTCCAAGAGCAGGCACTATCAACGATCGCCATCGAGACCATCCGGCAGGTGATTGCCCAGGAGGTGGAGATGGACCTGGCTGAAAATACCGAAACTGCCTATCTCAGCAACTTGGGCATGGACTCTCTGATGGCTCTGACTGTTCTCAGTAAGCTTCACGAGCATCACGGTATTGATCTCGACCCCACGATCCTGGCCAACAACCCGTCGCTAGGCCATTTGCGCAAGGCTCTCTGTCTCGAGAAGCCCAAGGTCGCTCCACCGACAGCCTAGAAGCGTGAGGTCAGACCCAACGTTGTCGTTGCCCCCACAAATCAACGCTGAGATTGGTGTTCACAAGTGTCTAGCAAGCAATACCAGAATGAAGCCTACGACTACCCACCCAATATCCGTGAAACCTTTGGGGATCTCGGCCGGAGCATTTCGGAGAAGGTGACGCTCCTCTCAAAAGCTCACACTCCATCCGAAGCAGCAACAACCTTCAATACTCCTCCATCGACGAAGCCTCAGCCCAAGATATTCAACCATGACATTGCCCGAGCCTCGCTGGCAAGCTCCCAGCTGCTCAAACAGTCCAACACTTCGGGTACTGGCAAGATTCGCGTCTCTGGTAGGTTTGCTGGTTCAAGTGCTCGACATACTCTATGTTGCGGACAAAAGAGCAAAGATGAATCGACGTGTGCGAGGACATTACAGTGTCAATCCAGATACGAATGAAATTTGTCAAAAGGACCTCGCTACGTCCTTATATTCCCATGGAGGCACATTTTGCCAGATGGGAGGACGAGGTTTGCGATTTCTTCGATATATTGTCGATACCGGTCACGGGAGGAAAGTCAAGGAAAAGGGAAAGGAAGGAAATGATCTGTACAATTTCCATCTTTCTGAGACTCATTCAGTCATGATCGCCATACCCTTGTACCTAGGAGCTGAAGTGTCGACGGAAGGCCGCACGCCATTGAGGGCATGAGTAGTAATGGTTCGAAGTTCATCACGTTCTTGTCGGGTGGCACACAGTGTTTCAGAATCGGGGGTCCGGTTTACTCAAAGAAAGTCTGGGTTCAGGCTGCCAGGTCGTCCTCTTCCTCGTCGCGACGACATGGTACGGTGTGCATGATCCAAGTACCATGATGTATATGCGCGATGGCCACAGGGAACTGGCGGGTATATCTACTTTGCCCAGATTCCTGTCCTTGCACCCTGGTGCACAGATTAGGTAGCGTTAATGGAGGAGGTCGAGCGTTGGTGGGTGTGGTGCACGAGCTTTGGAAGAGAGGAACTTGCAATCGAACACGCTCTGACCCACAAATAATTGCTGGAGATCACCTGCGGATACACCGCTCCCCAATGGCCTCCTCGCAAGACGGACTATCAAATGCTCTCTCTCTCGAGCTCTTCACGCGCCTGTGTCCGGCAGGCGTAAATGTGGGTACGATGTTGGACTGACCAGGCCCTTGGGGCCGCCGGTCTGAGGTTGAGGTCCCAGACGCACTGGCAACGAGCCTTTCCATATCTGTTTCCGTCGTCGTTGAACGGGATATGCCAGAAGCAAAGCTGCAACTCAGCTCGGCGGTCTGGCAATTGACGCATCGAGGGAGACCAATCGTTCCTTGTCTCTTCTACTCATCGGTTTGTTAGTAGCCGTTGACCGCAGCCACAATGGGCTTCTTCCCTTCTCTCCTGCTGATCCCTACAAATCCAGAGGTTTGATGGGTGTATCTGTACGGCTTGTCCACGACTCGTCGCTAGATTTCCTGACCAACTGTATCTCGATTAGATCAGGCCCGACATAGAAAGTATGGTTCCTAGCACCCGTGACGATAGAAAAGCGCGGCTACGGCTCATTATCAAACCACTTGAATAAGGTATCCATCTGCCAGTGCATAGCGTAGAGGGTTGAGTTAGTCTGACGCGGCGGTTGATTATTACCAGCATAATGGTACTTCTAGGAAAGTTACGTCGCAGCCCTCGCTTTTCGGAGGTAGCGACCCGAGTGCTTAAGATTTTCCTATCGCGGTTTCTGTGACTGTAGTTATAGTAAAGTACCATACGCTGCCGTCGACAATTGTAATGGCAAGCTCTTGATAAATAAATCAAACATCGTGACACCAGATGCTCGGCATTCTCTACCGTTGCGGACGGGGTTGTGTAGTGGTAGTTCTGGAGTATAGTCCTTACATCCACTAACCACAGCTGATGCATCCTGAAGTTCTCCCTGCCACGGTCGTGGAAAGAGCAGTTGTGTTCTAGAACAGAAACATGGCGGATTAAGTTGAGCATATTGGCCCGCAACTGCTCCCGCTCATCAATGCCGAACCCTTCACAGGTCATTCCTCCGTCCGGCAACTGGAGGTCCAATAACTCGTCGACGGTTGCAGCATCCGAAGACGAAGAGCCAGGCCCCAGAAGGCGAATGTCGCCCACGGCCTTCTCGTCCAAGCGGGGCCAGGGTTGCTGTATCCCATCGAACACCTTACTCAATCCGGAGAAAGCGTTGTTGAGGTAATTTATTAAGAATCATTAGTGCCACCACTGTCAAAACAAACGCGACCAGCAAGATACATGGGCGCGTAGACCTTGTCGCGGGGGTCGGTGCACTCAGTATGGCGAAAACATGTCCAGGACCACGGGGGACGACCCCGAAGCCTGCTGGACGTGACGCTTACGGAATCTCATCAGCTTCAAGGCCCGGTCTCTGGTACGGGCCACGGGAGAGAGACAGACACGGCAAAAAAACAAAAACAAAAAAAGAAGACTTACCTTTCGAACTTACCTTTGCATTGTCCTATCTCGCCATTACTGCCGGGGCCCAGCAGCAATGGAATATTGGGTGGATGGTCCCCCTAGGCAGTGTCCCAAGCGGAGATAGGCGATCGACAACCTTATGTTACGGGAGGACCTGTTTTGACACTGCTCGATGGCCCGAGATCAGGTTGTCAATCTTGGAGAGAATTCGGTCTCAATAAAATATATCACTTTGAAACTGGACCTTGGTACTGCCGCACCTTGGCGTAGTGGTGACAAGGGCGTCCGCCGTGGGCATCAGGCACAACAACGGCGTGCGGAATTTCATTTATTCCTATACCTTTATTCTGACGGCGTTCTTCCCCACTCGTTTATCGTGCATCTCTCGGTCTTTGGGTAAGGGGTGGTCGCATCAGAACGAATCCGTCGTCTCGATTGAATAAGGCCCGGCGAGGAAAGAAGCAGAAGATGAAGTCGCCAAACCCAGGGCGACGACGGTGACGACGATAGGATGCTCGTCACGACCGTCAAGGCGTCTTGCCAGACGATACTTCGGCGGAATGGAACAGCATTAGCCAGAGCCAAACCATCCTGTCGACCTTCGACATGAGTTCAAGTCCGATGCCAATTGGTGAAATGAAAATCAAGCACTCTAACACTATCTCATGTTCAGAAATATGTCCTTAATAAGTACCAGCAAACGGCTTCCCCCGAGCTCCGAGGTATTGACGAGTGTGATGCCTCTGATTAAGAGTCCACTTAGCCAAGTAAGTCTTTCTCATGGAGCTGGTTTCTAGGGACAAGATTGCTAGTTATGACTTTGTGGAAACTCTTCTTCATTCTGCAACTTGTGCAAAAGATTCATCAATCATTGGACCACTCTTGCGACTTGGATGCGAACCGAACCGGCAAGCCTTGGATTCTAACAAACCGAAACCTCTCCTACGAATAGCAGCGAAAATGGGAGAGTTGAGCGTGATCGAAATACTCGTTGACGGAGGCGAGGCGCTGATGTCCAGATCTCGTCGAACTATGGGACAGTGTCGGCATCCGTGCTAGGGTTCAATGAGTCTTTTATATGGATGTTTCAAGAGTACGCAACAAGGCAACAAGGAATCTCGGCAGATTTGGGACCCGGCTTGCAAGAGAAGCCAAGAGCGGAGAATCAGAGGTCGGTGTCTATCTGCCGGCATACGACAATGTCCTCATGGGGACAGCCATTATTCCTCCTGTCTGTGTCAACATCCGAAATCGCGACTACAACCACCTCGACCTCTTCGTTGACCTGGAGCCGGGTGATCTTGACGGAGTCCGAAGAGTTGCCAAAGATTTCAGGGATCGAAAACTGGAGGCATGATCTACCAGGCAAGGGCTTTGCTTGTCGATGACAACGGAGTAAACTGCCATGTGGGATGGGCTGGAGTTGCTGTAAGGCGAGACGGAATCAAACCTTTCTTTGAGGGCGCTTTCACCGTGATGTGCAATCACCACAATGTTCATTTGAGATCCAAACTTTATGGCTATCCGGCACGAACTACTGGAGGAAGAAGATGATGAGTGGATGGCTGTTTGGTGCGACTCGGACGTCAGCCGCCAGTCTCATGCGGAGATCAAACGAAGCGTGGATCTGACCTGAGCCTCTGACAAGTTGGAGTTCAACACCCATCCGAATCATCCCATCTATCGTGACTTGATGCTTAAACGTGACAACGGCTTCTGGGGAGACATGGGCCCCATATTCCCATGCATTACCAGCACTGAGTTCAATGGAAGTGGCTCTATTGGCATGACCTTGAGTCTTTCGTTGTTCTCTGAAGTCTTAGTAATGACTGTCCACGGTGCAGTAAGACCACGACGAGAGTACATATACTTGCTTCCAGGGTGGGAATTCTACATGTCTGTGTCCATGGGACCGTGCTCTCTTTCTCTTTTTCATTGCAGTAAAGAAAACGGCACGACCAGCAGCGTGCTGCTATTTAACCGCCGCTCCGCTGGCAGACGAACTAAGCTCAGTTTATTGAACCTGTGATTTTCTCACTTTAACTTTACCTTGATCTTGGATCCGAACATCAACCACCGATTCTTCGTCTTACACTCCTCTTTGCAAAGAGAAGCTCCCACCAACGACCAGTAATGACGGCGGTACTTCCTCCCTCCGCGCCAATAGAGCCTTCTCTTCCCCGGCTCTAGCAGGTCGCACAGGTGCTTAGCAGTCTCGATCGTAACCGCGTCGTAGAGCTGAGTAGAAAACTGCATCTGTGGTCGGTCTCCTTCGGACATGCCTGAGAGATAGGTCGCACGCAGTGCGGGGATATCGCTCGCAGATACCTAGTTCGTTTTTCCGTCAGCGAGACCCTCAGTACGACTCTCGTCGTTATCATCTCCCACAGCTGTGGTGGAATGGCATCCCCAGAAGCAGCGGCTAAGACCGTGCACCATTGAACATCGCATCGATTTCCATTCTCTTGTGACACCTCGTAGTGTTCCTCCATGTCGTCAGTCTCGCGTTCGTAGATCCCCAATGGCACGGTCTCCAGTCCTTGTGAATGGTGCTCGGTCTCATTCCAACGCTGTCGCAAGCGCCATCTCCCCGGCGCAAGCGTAGATATTCAGTACGACCTTGCGCAAGCAGCGCATCAGCCTGTCAAGAGGAAAAGAGGGTAGTCTTCGGGGCCACTTTTCTACCGTCCGGCACCCTGGATGATGTCTCGGTGTATCAAGAAGTGCCGCCGACGAGGAGCTGACGGAGAAAGCCAAAAGTCTTGACAAACACCTAATGCACCAATTTAGACTCGACGGCATATCTTTAACCATCTACAGAGGACATGCAGGAAGAGCGCTGCGTGCACAGTTGGAACATCGGGTGTTCTTTTTGTGTGCCTTGTTCAGGAGCCCGCACACCCTCGGCAACTCGTCTTAGATAAGCAGATTTTTACCAGCCCTTTCAATAATGGGCTGCCACCCAGTGGGTGACAGAATTCCCCCTCACTATTGGGGTTATTTTGCCCGGATTACTTACCTCACTGGGGACGGAATTTTGTCACTCACTGGGTGGCTACCACTCTCTGTTTTTCTTCCTCTTTCCCATATTTGCACCTTTAGTGATATTGTCCATGGAAGGTGATCCTGACTCGACGGACACAAACTCCCAGTTCGAGAACACGTCGACTGATGGGTCCGCATCTGCCCAGAGCCACGGATGGAAACCCGGACCCCGTGGTCGGCCGTCAACCAAGCTCAACGGGCTGGTTAGAGGCCGGCTCCCTGGGAATGTTCATGTTTATTGACGAATAAGGGTCATTGGTGTTGATGTTCTTCGGAATTTCGTCATTTTGCAGTCGGTTCATGCTTAAGGACGTTGCCCCAGGGGGGACGTCGAAGTTCGAAATCCCTAGAGTTACTTGGAGGAATCAAACCGGCAAACAATGGTTCCCTGTAGACTGCATACACTGTAGGGTCGGCAACTCTTCCGTTAGAGGTGCGCGGTATGTGTCGCTGGTCGAGGGGCAGTACTGAGATAGCTACGAGCTAGGGCCACCGCTCACGGAAACTATCCACACTGGATCCGGCTGAGAATGGAGAAGAGCTTGTAAGCACAGGAGTCTTGTAGTCTTCATTCTCCAGCATTGCAACCGCCTACGGATCGGCGCGAAGGCTTTGAAGCTCGGCGTCCCGATACTTCTGGGCCCTAGCCATCAGCTTTCGTAGGTGAATCCAGATGCGACGGTTCTTGTCTGCTAGAGCCTGGGCCGGAATCAGCCATTTACTGTGGAGGGCAACCCAGGCCGTCTCGACAATAGACGACCCGGCAATTGTGAGATCTCGCTCAAGAGGATTTCAATGGCATGCCAGTGGGTGTGGCTTTGATAAAGCCAGTACCAATGCCGACATGCCTCTTTGGCGTTGAGTGCATGGCTGTATTCTTGAGCCTTGAGTGCAAGCTCTTCAACAACGATCGCCGAAACTGCCTCAGCAAGCATTTCCTGCGCCCTTGCATCAAGAGACTGCATGTGTAACACACACGCGTTGCTCGCAGGGTGATAAAGGTCTTCTGTGCCGGAGCTTCCTGATGGAACAAGCCCAACAATGAGCGCTCCTTGTGCCCAGGATATGCATATTAGTTCCATCAGTCGCTAAAAGTATGTGGCCAAGACACCAGTTGTCCAAGAACGACCCCGTACGAGCGTCTCCCACAGACGACAGTGGCATTTCTCGCAGCGCCAGCGCCTGGACCACCCAGGATCTGGAAAACCAGGGGCGGTTTATAAATACGATTACACCCAGCCGGTTTTGATAGCTCAAAGGCTCAAGCTCGTGGTAGCAAGAGCCGTCCTTGTTGTAGAAGCCCGTATAGGGAACTCCAGGCCACTTCTTGTGAAATTCTCTCCATTACCGTGCACACGCCCTGGATGAACTCATCCTCTTCACCGAGCCACCTCACGAGCCGAATCCAAGCCTCTACGCGACGAGAGAACTCTTGGCATTGAGAAGCATGTGGATGCCTTGCGATAATGCGAAGTCGATCTACAGCTTTTGCTAAATTGATAGTCACGACAGGTATGAGTTTAGTTGTCCGTATTCGTAAATACCTCCATAGAGGCGTGAACAACTCCATAGAGGTAGTTTATTACCACATTTATTCTGAATGCGGAATTTGAGTTCAAGCTGAAACGTGGTGTACAAATCTATACAGTCACCTGGTCACTATCGTCGCTGGACATCGACGGTTAGGTCTTTCGCCATGTGGTTACAGGTAGTCACTGTTTTGCCCGTGATTATCCTCGTCACTTACACACGACACCTAGCTCTGGAACGAGCTGCTCTCAGCTCTACTTTCATGACTGTCTGTCTTGCGACAACAGAAGACTCTAAGAAGCTCTCGTAGCCGTTGTTCTCATGTACAATACTACGGGTAGATAGATATCGAACCTGCAGGGGCACTTGCCGCTCTATAGCAATCGCCGCCGCCTCCAAGGCGAACAGTGACCTCATCGTCCGGGTCACATGGTGTACACGGCCGCCATGATAGCCGGGGTGCTGTTCTGCACAGATTGGAAACTCGGGCGGGACGCGACAAAGGCGTACACTGGTCCTGCATGTGTCACATATTTTGTGCTCAATGGTGCATTGGCATGCCGGATCTGGGCGGTGGAGGCAGGGGCAGTGATTGTGGGTGTCAGAGAGGGAGAACAGCAGGTTTGTCACACGTGACCTATTGCGTTTCTCTTCTCCTCGGATATGGGGGGCAATCCGACTGACCACGTCGCTTTGTGAGATCACGCTTCGTTCATCTGCGAAGAAACACTCTACGGAGTACAAAATAAAAGTCACCTACTCTGCCCAGTCGATCGGCAAGAAATGGGAAGACAAGGAGATCACCGGAAACTACATGCAGTGGTTTAATATCCATGGCTACCTGCAACACAAAACACCCCTAGCGTGGCTCAACGTCAATATCGACGTGTTGCGGAATGCACAGGAGGAGATGACAAAGAAGGACAAGGCCGACAGAATCCCCGCCAACAACGATCTACACTGCGTTAGGTAATGGGTCATGAGACCTTTGCTGTTTCACCCGGAGCGATCTTCGGGTGAGACAGAAACAGGTGCGGAGAAGGTGGCTTCGAATCTTGACCAATGCTTCGCCAATGGCTGTTTTCCAACATTTGGCCTCATTGAATTCAGCTTTTGCGAGATTCTCGGCGTCCTCGTCTAGAGAAGCGGGAATACCAAATATTCGGGCGCATCGAAGCTACAAGCCTGAATTTCCCACAAGAGATACGGCTACCTATAACCCTACATCCTTGATATTGAGTAACAGGGTTCGTCGTAGTAAGAGAAAGGAGCTCCAGGGATGCATCCAAGCATTCCCATTCCAGTTGGATGATCCATCCAATGCTGCTCGCAGCAACGGTAAGAGCACCTTACCACCCTGATTTTGGAGACAAGACCGTATTCGGCGTCGAGCGTCATGGTCATTACTGACTACGGCATCGATACTCTGCTTCCTCCATCTCCATATAGTTAGGCCTTGCGTGTTCATTGTCACTGGCCTCCGAACCTGTATTAAACAAGGGTCACAGATCAGCCATTATACAGCACCCTTCAAAAAGTCACCGACCACAATCCATTTTACACCAAAAGTCGCACTTTTCAACCTCGCATAACTTTTTAAATTAGTATGGTGACTATACCTGTTTAAGTTATTAAGTTAATGTTCTTATTAAAATCTACTAGACTTTCTAGTTATAGACTTAGATAGACTATAAATAACGAGAAATCTCTAGTTAAAGTAAAAGTATCGAAAAGTTCGATGATTTTATATGTAAATCTGAACCTTTTGATCTTCTCAGCTGGATAACTTCGTAAGTACTTGATATTTTTTGAAAAGTTATATGAAGATTATAAAGTCTAGTTACTTATCTATACTATATTAAAATTTGAAAGGATGTTATAGTATAAAGTTAGCGCGAAAGGTTAGGTCGAAAAGTGCTACTTTCGGTGTAAAATGCATTGTGGTCGGTGACTTTTTGAAGCCTACTGTATGACACTACAAGTGTGGCGGCTACAGCATGGAATGTCGGTTTGCCGGGACCAACGACAAAGCATCGACTCGACAGGAAAGCGCGCGTGCTTGCAGCCATCAGTGAGAAGATCTCGCCGCCCAGCCAGCCTCAAAGGGAGCCAGGCTGGGAGCCGGTTGAGTGGCAGCACACTCACGGTGGCAGCCGGCGCTGCCGCCATGGCCGTGCACGGTGCCGGTTGGGAGCACGAGGTACGCCCCTGTACTCTTACCCGACCAGCAGAACTCGACGCTGTAGTTCCACGACCCGGTTGCGAACAGTCCGGATGAGTACTGAGGAGGTGTTCGCGTAGTGCCCAACACATCTCAATAAACACGACAATTCAAAGAATGGAGGCTTTCCAAGTACTCTAAGCCGACACCGGAAAATTCATCGAGCGAGAACACGCAAGCGACGCTCGGAAAGAAAAGAGAGCCATGGCTCCATCCGCGGCGCTACTTTGTGCCCCAAGAAGGCGCGGAAAGAAATTGCCCGCCCAGTCTCCTCCGCCGGCCACACGCTAATGCAACACCCCTCCAACAACCCTACACGGGACAGCGGCAACCACAGGGACAGACGTAAGGAACGACGTGGGCTGAGAAGCAAGCCGCAATGCGCACCGCCGAGAACGCTTACAAGGATCCTGCATCCGTTTCTGTTGCAGATGCCGGATCGGCTGTCTGCACCGCCAGCACTTCCGTCATATGAGGTCAGCCATGGTTGGTCTGTTCGGCCTGTCTGTGTGTGGTCTGCGTCTCTGCCGGCTCCGTTCGAGAAAGACACCAAGAGAGCATCAGTGCAGCCGGCGTTAAAGCTAAGCAGTGGAACAAGACGGTTGCAAAGATGGAGCAGGAATGCTACAGGTATGCAAGAGTGTTGCAAGAATGCTGTAGGAATGCAGCAAGAACGTAACACTCTTGCAGAAGGATAGTTACACCTCTCTGTATCAACTTCCATACGTCACGAAGTTCATTCCCGGAAGGGTCGATTAGGACCGAATCTCGAGGTTAGCAATTTTCCAGGAGGTGAGCGAGTGCAAGCAGAATGCGAAAAAGAATAGAGTTGTTTGAAACGTGGGCTCTCGTTAGGAGCAGCGGCATAAACCTGCTTTCGATAAGGTCAGAAAGGCCGAAACAATCCGCCGCTAGTCGCACCCACGTCCTCTGACACGCTGGTCAAAATCTGGTCCCCATACTCCGCCGCCGGCTCCGACCATCTCCTGACCACCCTTGACAACCACACCGCCCGGGTGTGGGCCATCGTCGCGCCAAATTCGTATCCGGGTATCTCGTCCCCTTCGAGCAAAAAGCAGCGCAAGTCGCAGCGTCAACCCTACCCCTACTCCCTGATATCGGGCGCCGGTGACGCAACCTTGACATTCTAGCGCGACACCACCCTGAAGCACCATGGCGAAATATGCTAGCGTCAACTATGGCGCGCACGCTACTGGTATCACTTTGGGCAGGGATCAGACTAAAAAGGGCAAAAGAAGTTCAACATCTCGGATTCCCAATCCCGAATCCTCTGCATGGATTACCGTGGCATTCCTCACTCTCCTCCCAACCGGCATAACGAGAAATACAAGGGAATCACCTGTCTCGAAATGACCGAGCATGTGGCAGTCAGACACTTGGGGAACTTCCTCAGTCAAGTGACCGATTATTGGACGACGATAGGGTCTTCCTCTTGCAAATCGCTGGGTTGAGGAAGTACTGCAAATATGACGACCACACTTTGGGGCTTTTTATGAATAAATACATCTTTCCGGGTGCCGACGCATCGACTCCTCTGGACTTCGTGATTGATAAAGTTGAAGGTGCCGGGTTTGAAGCCAAATCGGTGGACACAATCAGAGTTTCCTCGTCCAACACTCTGGAGATGGTACAGGAACTTACTCGGCAATGCGGCAAAGGTCAAGGCGAAATATGGCGTGAGATGGTTCAGAATCTGGGAATTTTTCTTGGCCTGGAGCACCATCATCTCCCGACAGGGCCCTACGACTTGTTTCCAAATTGTGTTGGTCAAAGATATCAATTCGGCACACCACATTGAGGGGGTGCAGCAGCAGTTTGGCCTTTTAAGAGCGCTACAGGCTGATCCTGAGATTGGGCAGCTAAGCGCTCTACAGGCGACAAGACTATGGATGATGAGGTCTTCTCACGACTGACAAGCTGTGCCAAGTGAGCAAAGAGACGAGCGCGAAGCGGCGGCGCGAGACGGTAACGGAAGACGAGTGAGATGGGAAGCGTCGATATACGGCGAGGAGACTGATACGATTGCGACGGAGGAGACAAATACGATCGCGGCGGAGGAGTTCGTAATCGACGAGTAGGTATAATAGGAGATGGATGTCGCAATCAAGCGCGGGCGATGTTACGGGGAGCGATAGTCGGTAGCTGGAGGAGCGACTCGACAAACCTGCGGGTGTCGAGCCCGGTCGATTGAGGTGCGTGGTTTCAATATGTAAACGGTATCGTCGCCACCTTTCGGACTTGTCTGAGCGCTTCATCGCCCGTGCAAGCCTCGTTGGAGCCCTTCTTCAAACAATCCGACACCAGGCCTACGGCTGTCGCCAGGATAGGGGTCGACGTTGTGCAAGTATACCATGTCGTCACAACGAGACGGCGCCGAAGTCGAGTCAAACACGGTTTGAAGAGACACTTTGCATTGAATGCCCAGTAAGAAGATGTTGATGGTCTCTTGCACGGCAGCCCATTGCGCGTTGTTCGGATTCGTCACGAAATCTCTCCTGCCAAGGGTATCCAGGGTGTCGTACAGCAACAGGCTCGTTCGTAAGTCGGTATGAATTCTAACCGAGCACACTGCATTGCCGACCGGTTTTGTGACGGCCCTGTACCGCCTGAGGCGCCAGCTCCTCGTTCGAAGCATTTATCAATCATGTGAAAATGGAGCGACACTCCCAGGAGCAGCCAAGTTGATAACGTGGTATGCCGAACCGGGGAATTGGTGGGTAAGAGAACCGCCGCACCGTCTTGCTCAATTCCTTCTTCAGCAGCATGGCAATCTCTTGCGTATTCCTACTGGACACAATCTCCATGGCGATCGCCAAAGCCTTCCGTCGGATGTTCAAGTCAGGGCGGGACAGCACTCGCAGGATTTCCATGATGACACGCCCTTGTTCCGTCTCCGCAGTTGGTCAACATGATCAAGCACGATAAGCTTGACATTGCTGTCCGCCTCTTTGATGCTTAGCTCGATGAATTTCCCAGCGGCCACCTTGACAGTCACCGGGTTGTTTGTTGGAGCCGTCAGCAAAGTCGCTGCTTCATAGACAACCGTGCTTGCGTATGTTTCCAAGAGATGAAAGATCAGCCATAGATAGCGCGCCTTTTTCGCTTGATTTTGCACACTCTCTTTCCGGATAAACTTGAGTTCAACCAGCTGAAGCAGCTCGTCGCCATCGGGCACTCCATCCAGGACTCCGGTGAGATATTCCAACGCTTTGTCATGGCTGATGCTCATCAATGCCGCAAAGGCATTCCTTGGTCGGTTGTGTCGCTCTCGCCCGCGAGGAACGTGTGGACCATCTCAGGAAACGAGATATACATCCCTCGCCTGGATACCAACGAGGCCAATGTTCGGGTCTTTTATCTTCTCGAGCTAGACCAGATCTTTCGGGGCCTCATCGTCCACCCAGTGGCACTCGATATGGTAAAATCAGCCCAGGGAAAGAACTTCTTGATCTCCAACTTTACAGCAAATATTGCTCGCCCCGGCAGTCCACCCATGGCACTCCACAGTGACCAAAGCATCCACCTGTGCCGGAGCCAAAGAAGGAGGTGTGGGCATTGAACGTCATTTGGTGCCTGACCGATGTGTACGGCGACAACGGCGCGACCTTGTATATCGCCGGATCCAACAAGTACAAGTCGAGACAAGGTATTCCCCCATATGCGAACAAGTTGCTGCGACCATTCGAAACGAGAGCAGGCAGCACCATACGGATGAACGGCCGCGTCTGGCACACATCCGGCGCCACAAACACTCCCGGTATAGGCTTCCTGCGCCTTTCTCTCCCACTATCTCTTTGTGTGCCTGTCACTAATGTACCACTGGGAACCAATACAATTGTGGCACCTGGCCAGCGCACCTTCCACAGTTCGCGCCGATGAATCTGTAAATCTTTTCCCCCTTTGATACCAAATAACATCGACCAGCCCCGATCCGACACAGATTCACAGACGACACAACCCGTGAAAATTTCGAAATACAATGTCATCCCTTGTCTTGTAGACGACACGGCTCTGACTAGGAGCCTGAAGGAGATCGAGAAGTGGGCCTCGCAAGGCCTCATTATTCTCGTCGTGCCCATGTACAGTATGGACGCCGGTGTCGCAAATTCCGTGGTGGCCCCGCTAATCAGCTTCAGCGCCTTCTCGCCTGAGTGTTTGAAGAAGGATTCTTCACAGATCGGTATCAACGCGTAGTCGCCCTTCTCGGGGTCTTTCTCGTCGAGTTCGTTCTGGTACGCTCAGATCATGCCGTCCGCGTTGTGGTCGGCGTAGACGAGGCAGCGCATGTCCACGAAGCCTGAGCCGGGCGTGTTGAGGATGTGGTACGCGTCGCCGTCCAGGTGGCTGTTCATGTCGCCGTCAGGAAGGTGAAGGCCGGGCTGTACTGTGATCGCAGCCGGTGGGCGGCCCGGAGGATTAATCTGGCAGATTCGCACAGGGATATCTTGCCTTCATGGTCGAGGTGGGTGTTCATGGCCAGGGTGACCTGGTTTTGTCCTCGTCCTCCCAAGGCAGGTGGTACATGTGTCGATGTTGTCGTGGTCGTCGAAGCTCAGTGGTGGGCTGTGGTGTTGCTGACGAGGACCGATTACAGCACGGCGCATTCGACCACTGCGAATATAACATCATGCCCGAGCAGTTCGCGTTGCGTTGGAGTCGAACGTGATTGGCATCGGGGCGAACAAGGAGAGTTTTACCAAAGCCCACAATCTCAAACGCCTCGCCTTGGGATTTGGCGTTATGTTTAGAGGACATTGTACGAGGACTTTGGTCACTAAGTGTAAGTTCCCAGCAGCAACAAAGAGAAAGGGAAGGAGGGAAGAACTAATACGATCTCATGAGCTGAGCCATCCTACTGGTGACAGGGGTGAAATCTATCTCGTGTCTAGGCGTGTCATGGGGTTTGCCCGTCTCTTCTTACAGGAATCTTGGGGCAGGTAGGTGGACTGCCTGCCCTGCTGGGCCTCTCATACGACATGGTGAAAGGGATAATCGTGCCTACCGTCAACGCTCCTCGCAGCCGAACCTTCTGGATTGCAGTGATGACGAAGATCATGAGTCTGGGCCCCGTGTATCACCAGCTCGTCGGTCCGACACAAACGAGCCAGGCCGTTCCTATGGGATGGAAATTCGATAGCATGCTCGACTTTTACGTCCTAGGCGCCAATCCCAATTTGATAGCGCTCATCACGGCACTGAATGAGTTGATGTTCCGGTACGGGTGGTATATGGTGCTCATCCTGGTCTGGATGACCACCTTCTACCTCTTGCTGAAGAAATGGGAGGCGCTGGCGCGGATCCGAATGTCGGAAAAATTCGTCAGCGTCAAGAACAACAACGACACTCGGATGTGGGATAGCATGAATGGATGGATGACCGTGTTCATCTATAGCCAAGTCCCACGCGAGACCGTATCCTTCGCTGCCGGGACCGACTATTGGGTGAAGCTGAAGACGAGCCGGGCGGCAACGACCTACCTTTTTATGCCAGACAGGCCACCGTGGGCGACAACGCAACTCTGAGTTGTCCTAGCGTCAATCCTACAGCGCTATGGGGTTTACCCTCTGTAGTCGCAACAGCACACCTCCCTGCACTTCCGTCCCTTCGACCTTGAGGATCTGATTGCCACAGAAAGTATTGGGGAAGACACCGGCATCAAGAGCCCTAAAAGTCAACACAACGTAACGCGAATGTGCCTTTCGCAACAGCTTTCTGTTTGTTTTCTCCTGCCGGATCCGGCTTTGTCTAAGCGCTGGATGCAAACATCAATTTCCTTCGGAGGCACTTATCCAGATCCTGGAGCGACGTTTCGTATGCTCCATGTTTCTCTTGCGTCAGTTGTTCGCATGCGCGCACTAGAGCCAGGCCCTGCGCAGCAGTAGACGTGGCATAGGATACTTGAACTTTGCCGCCGCCGACGAGTCCGACCAGCCGATCGCTGTCAGTTCCAAGTCCCTGCCTCACGTTGTGTATCAAGATTCAAAGAAAGAGATGTCGGCTATGGCGAATGGTTGATGATCGGAGACAGTCTTGACCCGGAAGTGCTCAAAACCGATAGATGCCCGACGAGGGGAGCGCGTCTCTTCGCCGTCGCATCTTCTGGCCATTTGATCGACGTTCGTGCTCGCATGTTTCGCAGCTGCGCGTCTTGGTGCCTGTCATCGAAAGGCAGCCTACAAACCTGTAAACAGTAGATAGCTGCCGCCCTACCCGCAGTCCGCATCGCCATCTCGGTGCTCTGCGACGAATATGTCACATGGCCTTCGGCACACATGCTGCGGGCTGCCGTCGCACCGTTTGAAGAAAATGAATGGGTCGGCATCGTGGGTACCGAACGCGTGATCCGATACGCAGACAAGGGCCTGTGGGCCGGGTTCTGGAACATCATGGGCGCCCTGTACCTGGAGCTGCACAACTTTTAGTATACGGCCTCCAACGCGGTGGATGGCGGCATCGCCGTGATCAGCGGTAGCACCTGTCTCTACTGCACACAAGTCCTCCAAGAACCCGCTCTGCTGGCCGGATTCCTGAACGAGGGCTTCCTGTGGCGTGTCCGGGGGCCCCTGAGTGCCGACGACAACAACTACCTGACGCGGGCGCTGGTCAAGCGCGGCTGGAGCATTGCCTCGCTAAGGCTGACTTCCTGACACTCCCCAACCTGGATCTAGTCCAGGTGTTTGCCCTCTTCTATGCATTGCCCGAGGTCGTGATGATGTCGTTGATGTGCTCCAGGCCGAGACTGATGCGGATTATGTCCGGGGTGACGCCACCCCTGATCTTCTCCGCGTTGGGGATCTGCTGGTGGGTGGTCCGCCAGGGGTGGATGATCAGGGTCTTTGCGTCGCCGTCGTTGACCAGGTGAGAGTAGAGCTTAAGATTGTTGATCACGGCTTCGACCTTATCGATGTTTTTGGCCACGCCGAAGGTGAGCACAGTACAGGCGCCCTTGAGCAGGACCTTCTGCACGAGCTCGTAGTTAGGGTGGGATTTCAGACCGGGTAAGTTGACCCACGCGACGTAGGGGTGCTTCTCCAGCCACTGCACGAACGTAAATGTGTTGGAGATGTGTCGGCCGGCGTGGACGGGTAGGGACTCGAGGGCGCTAGAGGAAGAGCCAGACAGTGAAGGGCGACATGCACGGACCCAGGTCACGTATGGCGTCCATGCGGAGCTTGGCCGCCAGAGTCTTAAAGCCGTAGGCGTCCTAGAATTTCATGCCGTGGTAGCCCTTGGACGACTCTGTGAACCCGGGGAACTTGCCACAGGCAGACCAGTCGAAGTGCCGGCCGTCAATGAAACTCCCAAAATCCCCCAAGTCAACGAAAGCGATTTCCGCCGTATATGTATGTGTGATACAAAGTACCTGCGACCCGGGGGTGGTCTATAGCCATCTCCATTACTTGGGCCCGAGCAGGCCGGTACCGGGACATTTTGGGCAGCAAAAGCTGTGCAAAAAATCTGACCGGTCCGGTGCGCGTATGACTTCTATCCAGACAATCCCGCGTCCTCGAAATAGCTCCCCAATTCCTCCTCGCTGAGCCCCACGTGGGCAACCTTTTTCACGCTCCGCTGCATCGCGGGATCCGAACTCCCCTCCTCAATATGTGGACTACTTAGTTATATTACTTTATTATCTATTATAAGTTAACATATAATAATTATATAATATAAACTTCCGCTTTAACTAATTTAAAAGTAAATAGTTCTATATTTATTAACTTCTATCTTATTCGCTAATTATTAAAGTCTGTTAATATAAAACTAGTCTAGTTAGTTACTCTTTATATAATAAAAGATTATGATAACTAATTAAATAAGCTAATATTAGAGATTATTTACTTATATCTAGAAGTTAATTGTCACCCAGGAAGCAGGGCTGTTACAATGACTGTTACAATACGCTTCCCGGCCGACAACACCCC